GCATTACTTCCAGCATTGTGCCCAGGTGTTACAGCTTCTGAGAACAAGGGGAAATCTGAACTGAGTCTGCCCTGCTGACCAGATGCAAAGATGGTGAATCTATTTGAGCTAAGACGCACGCATAGCGATCATCAGCAACTGGCTCACTTCAAGGTGACTTGGGGAGACCCATCTGAAAAGTGGTTCAGATTGGAGCTTGTATTGTTTCTAGGAGTTGCCCCGGACACGTTGAGTTAAGCAGGGGTGTCAGGCTCACCCTCCCCATGACCATTTTACCTGCCCAGACACGATTGGGCTGTTTCTGAAACACACCTTGTTGCACGTGACTCATTGCCCCTGGCTGAACGCAGCTATCCCGAGGGCACAGGCTAGTGGATTAGCCTTCCTCCTACCAATCTTACCGTGGGGGCCCTTTCTTGCCAATCTATAGATGCTGTTGTTGACCCCTACCTGTGGGTGGGCTTTGCTGTACGTGGGATATTTAGTGTTCATTTAATTATGTCATAGATTTGAGAGTGTGATGTGATCTTAGAGCTCTCATTTTGTAGATGGAAAAAAAAAATGCTTGGAGCTTCCTCAAAATATTTAGGGAAGTAGGGTCTAAAACCCAGCTCTTCAGATCTGTGCTTTTGCTTGTTGTGTTCTTCCTCCCCATCTTCTGGATACCCAGATCCCACACTCATTCACCAAATATTTACTCAAGCATTTCTTATGTGCCAGACACTGTTCTAGATCGAACGTGCGGTATATCAGAGAACAAAATGGTGATCTATGTTCCTTCCGCAGAGCTTGCATCTTAGCCAGAGGACATGGACAAAAGCAAGATTTGCAAGAAATCAGAAAAGCACATAGTATGTTAGGAGGAGACAAACACTATAAAGGAAAAGAAAAAGTAGACCAGGGTTGAAAATGTTCTGGAGAATATGAATATAGGGACAAGCAGGCATTTTATTTTATTTTATTTTTATTTATTTATTTTTTTAGAGATTTCTTTATTTCAGAGAGCGAGAGAGAAAGTGTGTGAGGGTAGGGGCAGAGGGACAGGGAGAGAGAATCCTCAAGCAGACTCCACGCTGAGCTTGGAGCCCAACTTGGGGTTCAATCCCAGGACCCCGAGATCATCACCTGAGCTAGAAACAAGAGTCAGATGCTTACCTGGCTGAGCCACCCAGGAGCCCCCGGGTGGGCATTTTAAATATCACAGACAGGGTTGGCCTCACTGAGAGGATGATGCTTGAACAAAAACTCAGAAGAATCAGTGAGAGGCTGACCTGTCCAGGCAGAAGGATGACCCCATGCAAAGCTCCCGAGGCTGGTGTTAGCACAAATCTCTATTTGTCCAAGGTAGTCTCCCTTTATGACTGTTGTCCTGCCATAATTATTATCAGTGCTGCACTGTGTGTGTTGTGGGAGTGGGGGGAGCTTCTAAAAAGAAAGAGTTATTGATTAAGTTGCCCAGTGTTTGATCCAGGAGCAGACTTCTATTGCTATTGAATAAATGATTGTTTGGTTTCTAGGGAACCCATGACACCACCTTTCAGTGGCTCGCATTCCCTGTGGAATCAAACCCTAAACCCTTCGCTGAGCTCACAGAAGCATCATGCTTCATCTGCGTCCTCTCCCCTTTCCTGGACGTTCCTCCTCCCAAATGACTTGCACTTCCCAGAACACACAGACTGGTTCTCCACCTGGAATGCCTTCCTAACTGGCAGTGAGTGCAGAGACTGGATGCGCTAGAATTTCCCAGGGAAGGGATTAAATAGACCGTCTCTGAACTTACTGAAATCCACCGCATCCGAAGCCCTGGGAGTGAGTCCCAGGAACCCGCACAAAACAGAGCCCCTGGAGTAGCGGCAAGGACTCTGCCCTTTTACAGCCCGTCTGATGTGGATTTGAAGCCAGGTTCTAACACACATTCATCTGTGGCCACAGGCAAATCTCAAAGCCTCATTCTTCTTGTCTGTAAACTGGGGATAATTAGCTCTCTAGCTGGTGGATTAGAGGCTGTTCCCGTAACGTATGTAGCAGGCGGTGGATTTCTAATAAATGGCAGCTTCCCACCTTCTCCCACCTCTTCTTTCTTTCTTTTCTTTTCTTTTTTTTTAAGATTTTATTTATTTGACAGAGAGAGATAGTGAGAGCAGGAACACAAGCAGAGGGAGTGGGAGAGGGAGAAGCAGGCTTCCTGCCGAGCAGGGAGCCCGATGTGGGACTCGATCCCAGGACCCTGGGATCATGACCTGAGCTGAAGGCAGACGCTTAACGACTGAGACACCCAGGCGCCCTCTCCCACCTCTTCTTATTGGCTGGCTCCGCTGGGGTTAATATCATGGCTTTGTGTGGGATAGGCGTGGGTTCCACATCTTTGCCACTAACCACCTGGCGGACCTTTGCAAGTCACCGTCAAGCGGGAAGAATATGAATGCGTTTGTGGGGCAGCATGATTGAGAAAATTCAGGATATTGGCACCTACACCGCATCTGGATCCTCACACAGAATGTGGCGCATTTTAGGTACTCATGAGTACGAGCCAGCGTGCGTTCATTCAGTCACTCAATAGAACTTCCTTGGTTCCTACTGCGTGCCAGGCCTTGCCACAGGAGCGAGGAGTCTGGTGGAGAACGAGGGTGAGGGAGGTCTCGGTGAGGAAGTGCCCCCGCAGAAGACACAGCGTTGATCAGTCGACTACGTGGCTTCCCTAGTCCCCACTTCTCACCGTGGGCGCATCCTGCTTCACCTGCCAGTCTTTCCCAGTCTCTCCGGTGCACTGAATCAGGACTCCCCCCAGAGCTGCTGTCTTGTGTGATCTTGCCTGCAGCCGTGGGATTAATGTGCGGGTCATGGGATGTCATTTTAAAGGACCTTGTGTCCCCAGGCCCCGGGGGACCCTTAAGCCCCCGACCAGTCCCAAATGCGAAAGGATTTTAAGCTCCTGAGGTCTTCATGCCCACTTGCGTACCGGTATTTGTAAACTTGAGGGGAAGGTGTTCAACCTGCGCCCCGCTTGCTGCTTTGTCTCGGGAACCGTGCGCTGTCTGGCCCGCGGCTCACTGAGTGTAGGTCCCTCCACAGAGCCGCCGCTTCTCAGTTGAATCCTCCCCGTCTCCCCTCCGTCCGTACCTAGCATCGAGCTTTGCCACAGAAGTGGTTATCCAACTGCCTAAAATTTGAGAATCCCGATGAACAATATCATACGTTCGAAGGCACTTACTTTATTCCGAGCAGAGTTATGCCACAGACTCTCGGGTCTGTCTGCTAGGCTTTCCTCATCGCTTGGGCATACATCGTGTTGCTTTGGGAGGAAGGCAAGATAAGGATAGTTAATCCCTCAGCTTGATTGTGTTGTCCCTTTAGTGAACTAGATCCCCTCACGTGGGTTCGTGGAGCCTTTGGAGCTTCGGACCGTGTATAGGATAAGCCCGACGCCTCAGACCCCCATAACGGTTTACGCTGTTTATGTTGGCTCGCCCTACAAGACCCAACTGGGCTGGAAAGGCAGACACAATACTAGACTACCATAGCGTGGAAGCTTCTATTTGTATCTTTCCCAACAGGCATGTATGCGCTTTGCAACCAAGAGGAGCCCACTGTTTGGCATCGATGGGTTAGGTCCTTTTACGCTGGTCTTGCAATTTCTCCGCAGCCCTGGAAGTCGGCTATTTTTGGCAGCTCTCCTTGGCTGATGTTCCCCTGCACCTTCGGATCCTTATGAAAAGTGACTCTATGCACAGAGACATCCAACTAATGCATGCTCGAGGGTTTCCTGGAGAGCCTCTGGGCTTCGCTACAAAACCAAGCCAAGCAAAACCCGATCTGCCTGACCTTGAGCTGGTTTACCATGTGTCTCTTTCTTATCCAGAGAATCTCCAAGGAGTCCTTCACTTTGAACAGTGCATCCTCAAATCAAACAAAGCTTTCTTAATAAAAAGAACAGGCAAAGTGTTGCCTTTTGCTTATTCGCCCTATCACGAGTGTTCCTTAGGAGTGAGTCCCTTGACATTTCCTCCTTGCTGACTCAAAATAACGATGGAGAACAAGAACCCGGGAGGATAAGAAAGAGAAAAGGCAAGACCAGATACCCTGAGACTCTGGGGAAGAGCCAAGTTTTGCTCAACCCTTCCCCACTTTTTTTTTTTTTTGGCTCTTGTTTCAAAGAAAGCTTTGTCCCATCAGACCTGCAAGGAAGTCTGGCTGGAGGATGGCCTTCAGGAGGCTGGGGCCTCTCCATGAAATATGTAGCTTACAAAATGTTTTTGAGGACCCCGAAGGTTTGTGGGATATTGCACAAGGAAACACCGGGCCGTTATGTGTGCAGTGGGTTTTTGCTTCCTGTGCATTTCTCTGAAACTCTTGCCAGGTTCTCGACCGTTATCACCATCTTGCAGAATTTATGAAGGCTTCTAACCAGTCATCTGTACCATCTCTTTATTTTCTTTCTATTTTGCCCTAAGAAATTTTCTTTTGTGCTCAGCACTCCTTGTAGCTCTCGTATTTTAAAATGTATTCGTAGTTGAAAGAATGAAACCAATACGTCATCTGTGCCAAAATTAAAATTTCCGGGAAGGGAGGCAAAGTTTTGCCAGATGAGATCCTTCAAACAAAATGTGCTCATAAAACAAGGACCAGCTCTTTTTCTTGATTCTCCTGGAGCTAAAGAGTCACTGTAAGTGCATGGCTTGATAAACAGAAGTGACAGAAAGATGGTGTTTTAGACACTCAGAAATGGAAGAAAATGTGTATAGGGTTTAATGAAAATTAATTACCCCCCAAGAAAGTCGTTTGCAATGGCAGTGAAAGAATTACATTTGAGAAAAAATTTACCACATTAGCAGATGGCTGTCTCAAGGATATAACAAAAACATTTTATATGCAGAAAAGACGGGAACGTGTTTCCGGAGCATCAGCGATTTCCATTGCGAGGTTTTGCTCCTACCTTGCGAGTGGGGATTGTGCCCGCAGAGTGGAAACACAGAGAACAAAAAGGCAATTGTATTTTTCAGCACCTGGCTTCGGAGAGCCCAGAAGCTGGGAAGGAGTGTGATTAACTCCTACATGTGCACCTTCCACCCAGCATGGACCAAGAGGTGAGTGTAGGGTCAGGAGATGGGTCCCCACGCCCTCCGAATGGGGCTGCTGACTCCACACCTCTGGGGCGGGTGCGGACACCTTCAGACAAGGTGTGTCTGTGGCTTTGTGCTGTTCCAGCCAAGTGATGTGTAAGAATGAGCCCAGCAGCTAGAACAAGAAGGAGTTCATAGTGTGTCTGGGAGGAGCCAGTGTTGTTCTCCATGGCCCAGGGACAGTCGGTCAGGGCGATGTTACCCTGGGCGGTGGTTCTCAAAGTTTGGGTGCATTCCGGCCACCTGAGATGTTTGTTCCCGAGGCAGCTTCCCAAGATGTCACCCCTGGAGCTCTGGCCCCCAACGCGGGGCAGATTCGGGTGGAGGAAGTTCACGGTTCCTATGTCAAGAAGCACTGGACAAATGGGTGAAGAAGTGAGAAATCTGCGGACAGTCCTTTACCATCATGCTTTGCCATTTACAATCCGTACTGCTTTGGTCCTTTTTAAACTCATCAGCAAGTGATTTCATTATATTTTGAGTAAGGGACAACCTGGTTTTGTGGAATACGCATATTCTTGGCCATAACAGAAATCACATCTCCTTAGTTCTCTTTGTCTATTTTACAAATCAGTCCAAAAAAAAAAAAAAAATGTATGGCAGGAACAACAAAAGGAACTGATTTTTAAAAAAATATACACTGCATGTTTTTACTGTATAGATGCTAACAATGTAAAAAAAAAAAAAAAAAAGGAAAATTTTGGCAGTTGAGAAAGCAAAAGTGCTTAAAACGTTATTCTGCCCCTGAAAGAGTGAATTATTTGTGGAACTGGTTATTGGGTCATCCCTGTGATTTGGAAAATATTTTATTTATGTATCCTTTGCTTACCTATAGAAAATAAAAAATATTAGCTGGTGGTAGAAGTGTAAGCAGGCCCAGCTTTGTGGCTGCGTGATAGTTCATCCACACATGGCCCGATGCTCAGATTGGGCATCACACCTGGAGTTTAATGCCGTGCAGCCACCCTACGGAAATCCATTTTATCCTTGACGTTGTGTTTTGAAAGTGCAGTCCAATGGGACAATGGAGCATGAACCTGGGAGCTGGGGGGTCACCAAGGCACTGCGGCTACCCTCTGCCCTGGGGGCACAAAGGGGTTGGGGTCATCAGACATGTGCTCAGCTGGCTCCTTCGTGGGCCCCTGGGACCCTGTGCGAGCCCACCCTGGTCCTGTGAGTATCACAGTGTCAAAGAAGTGCAATGTTACAAGTCATGACAGGGCAAGGAGGCTATAAAGACAGTCTGCCTTTTTGCACTCTGCCCCACAAATTATGTGGTAGGTCTGAGTGTAAGTCATATACGGACACATCTTTACACGGCAGTACACGGCCCGCAGGTCAGAGAGAGGTAAAGAGGATGACTCATTTCCTCACAAACAATTCAGAGGAAAGAATTCAATCGGCCAATTCCTTCTCTTAAATTCCTAACATAGTTCTATGAAGGTTGCAAATTAAAAAAAAAAAAAAGTCCATCGATGCTCTGTTTATTTTTAAAAACTGCTAATCATCCTTTGTTTTCCCTGGGACAGCTCTGTGCAGGGATGCCCGTTGGATGGAATCGTGCTCGATGGCTCCCTGTCGTCCACAATAGGCAGAGTGTCCCTGACCCAGCCACCTCTCTTTCCTGACCTGTGGGCTGCTCTCCAGGTATCTGACGGTGTTTGAAGGCACAGCTTCAGGGAGGGAAGGGATGCTGGGATCTCCAAAGTCAGGAACCTGCATTTGCCTGGCAAGAAGGCAGAAGGAAATTCAGGAGGTGCCCACAGTGGTCTGTTGAGCCCCAGGAGCTAGCTCCGTGCCACTCCTGAAAAGGAAAGTCCTGAGCCCTGGCAGCTAATGAGAACAGAACTGGCCAGCTCCCCAGTCTTCACTAAGCTCACTGAAATCATTGTCATGCTTTGCCCCCAACTGCATTGTGAGCAGTGGTGGGTCTGCCGTGGGTCTCCTCTTTGAGCCCTTGGGAGGATAGGCCCGCTGTCTGGGGGTGATTTCAAAATTGTGAGGCTTGGGGCCATATCCTAGACTAAAGAAATCCCAATTTCTGGGGGTGGGACTCGAGTGGGTAGGAGTATTTATTTATTTATTTCTAGAGAGAGAGCATATGCGTGAGTGGGCAGGGGAGGGGAAGGGGGCAAAGGGAGCAAAGGGGCAAAGAGAGAGAGAGAGAGAATCTTAAGCAGGCTCCATGCTCAGCACCTCAGCACAGAGCCCAGAGCCCAGCTCGGGGCTCCATCTCACGACCCGGAGATCACAACCTGAGCCGAGATCAAGAGTCAGATGCTTAACTGACTGAGCACTCCTGTGCTCGGAGTTTTTAATGCCCCCAGAGTGATTCCAATGTGGGGCCAAGCTGGAGTGTCAGGGTACATGTGATTTAGGTGTGGGGTGCATGGGCTCAGAGATGAGAACCGAGGCCCACGAAGTACATCACGGACAGTTTCTGAATTCTTAATGAGAAAGAATGGGAGAGCAAAGCCAGGGAAGGAAGAGGAACTTTCCAAAGAGCAGAAGGCAGGGCAGGAGGGGGAGCTGCATGGGGGAGCCCGAGGCGGATGTGGGTGGAAAGTGCCAAATGGCGGGAGGCAGGATGAACACGTGGACACTCACTGGGGCCAAGGCACACGCGGGGAGACAGGCCTGCCTTTCCCTGACCAGGCTGAGAGGGCCCCAGCGGAGGCAGCAGTGCGGGCAAAGACGTGGCCTTCATTTCAGAACATTTGAACTCAAAGCCAGAAAAACCCCGGGTGCAAGTAAGCAAGACCCACGCTCCTCTGTGGACCGGCCATAGGCTGAGAAAGAGGGTTCAAATTAGGGGGACTGTGTGGGGACTCACAGGGATATAATAAGTACTCCCCACGTGAGTTATGTGGACAGATCCACTGAGCACAAATCAGCCCTCAGCTAAATGCTGATAACGCAGTCAGAGCCACTCTCTGAGCTAACGTTGGCTGGGGACCCGAATTGTCTGCTTTGGGTTACTGTTATAGAAGGTAAAGATATTAGGGAAGAGGAGGCAGGAGCAGGTTGCCTTTATTGATTATGGACCATTTTCTCTCCTTCCACGTTATTTTTAAAGATTCTTTTATTTATTAGAGAGAGAGAATGAGAACAAGTGGGGGGAGGGGCAGAGGGGGAGAGAGAAGCGGCTCCCCGCTGAGCAGGGAGCCTGATGGGGGATGCGGGGCTCCATCCCAGAATCCTGGGATCATGACCTGAGCTGAGGGCAGATCCTTAACCGACTGAGCCACCCAGGCGCCCCCGTTCCACCTTATTTTAGAGTTAGCCACAAGACCCGTTGAGTAGGTGAGGACACTGGAGACATTTCTAGAGTTGAGATGAAAATTTCTCCGTCCTGGCACTAGCAGTGTTCGGGGCCAGATTGCGCTCTGCTGCGGGGACTCCCTTGTGCAGTGTTGGGTGCTGAGCAGCATCCCCTGCCTCCACCCACTAGATGTTAGCAGCACCCCTCCCCCAGCTGTGACAACCCAAACTGTCTCCAGTCATTGCCTAATATCCCCAGTGGACCCATATTTTTCAAACTGGGGAAAGAGGGATGGTTCCTCAAATAACTACTTCGTTGTGAAGTTAGTGGGGTAGGTGATGACCAGCATTGAAAAAAATGAAATGAAAATGGATAAACAAAATTAGTAGGTCACACGTGGCAAAGTTGAGGGTGATTTCGTGAGCGGCTGGTTCCGGCCACATGTGTCTGAGCGTGTGGGTCCTGGGTTTCAGTGGCAAGTATGCTTCTGCCTGTGGATGGTGGTTTATCGGGAGAGAAGGAGATGCAAACAGCTCAGCTAAGTTTGGTGAACTTAGTTAGGGGAAAGCTTGAATGGTCCTTGAGGAATTGGGGGTTAACTGTGTAAATCGCCAGTGAGATCGATTTATGGATTATTTTGCAGGGCACGTGGGAAAAGCAGTGAAGCAAAGCACTGCAAGGACTGAGTCCATATACTAACATAAAGTGATGAGGACTTAGTTCCGGGAAGGGGCAGGGTCGCAGAGAAAAATCTCCAAGAAAATGCTAGTGTCTGGTACAGATTTCAGGGTGGCCTGTTTTGAAGGTATTTTATCTTTAACAGGTCTGTGCCGGGGTCCCCTTTACACTTTGAGGCAGTGCCTGAAAAAACTGTCACACTATTGCATTTTAAGAAACTTTTATTGAGATATAATTTACATGCTATAAAAATCACCCACTGTAAGTGTACAATTCAGTGTTGTTGGTGGTGGTTTTTTAGTATAGAAAGGTTTGTATAATCATGAGTATGATATAATTTTAGGACATTTCCATCACCCCCAAAGGAAATCTGGTACCCAGGAGCTCTCACTCCCCATCCCTTTGCTTCTGCGTCCAGTGAAACCACTCGGTTACTCCCTCTCTAGATTAATCTTTTCTGGACATTTTGTATAAATAGACTCATATGATATGTAGCCTTTTCTGTCTCAGCATAACATTTCTGAGGTTCATCCATGTGGCACACATCAGGAATTCACTATTTTTTTTATGGCTGAATACTATTCCATTGTATGATGGACCATATCTCGTCTGTGTATCTGTTGATGGACATTTGGGTTGTTTCCACTTTTTGGCTTTGATGAATAACGTGGACATGTTTTCTTTTCTCTTGAGTAGCTATATACAATCGATCACATTTTAACACTGAAGTTGTTGATTAAAGGAACAAAAACCCACTATGTGAGTGTTTTGAAGAGGAGGGGGATGGCTCTGGAATGCATTCTCATTCACTACAGAGAAGTTTGGGGCAGTGATGTTTTGTTAAAGGAAAGGCTATATATTGATTGTTCTCACATTTCTTACCATATGCAATACAAAAATGTGGGGTGAAGTAACTCAGGGAAACAATTTACTCACACAGTTCATGTGATCAGCACAAAAAGAGGGAGTCATTCAAACTAACTACCTGGATGCCTCCCAGTCCTGTGAAGTTTGTCATTAACAGGAGGTGACTGCTGTCTTTTCATGACATGCCTCTATCTTGTCCCAACACACTGAGATTTGTGCCTTTCAAGTCCTTCAAGTTCTATGTAATCGGTGATAGCCACCATTCCACTAAAATGTGCATGTGCATATAAATTAAAAAACCGATATATTTAGCAGAGAACGTAACAGAAGGGAAATTTTCCACTCCTCACCAGAAACATTTAGGCTTTGCAGGATATCCCAGTGAATGTGGCAGGCAATGCTTGGGGAGTTTCCCTTCCAGGCTCCTTCCAAGACTGGGATATCTGGATATTTGCAACACTCTCCAGGTACCCTGAGCATCTCTCTCCCCCCTGCAGGCTACTCTCTTCCCTGATCTGAGGTCTCAAAGGACAAGATGCAGCTCTTGGCTTGGTCACTTGGCCAATGTTTTCTTTCCTTAACACCAGAAAGCTTCAAATTCCAAGCTACCCAAAAGCAAGCAAAGTCAACACACTTAGTCATGGCGGGAGGAAACCATTCATTTTTTTGCACGGAGGGTTACAGTGAGAAAGGTTACTTACATAACTACACAAGGGGGGATAATTTAGGATATATTTCTTCAGGCTTAAACAAGAGGAATGAATATTCTACAGCAGGAAAATGGTTAATACATTCTGGGCATATAAAATTTCATACGGTCCAACTTTAAGCCGTCATTAAAAGTATGCCTTTGAATAATATTTAGTAAGTAAGACCAGGTAACAGAATCAGAATGCTAAGCTATTTCTACCCTGAGAGCCCTATTTTGCTATTCACCTCCTTTCCACCCTCAACTCATGGAAATTTTTCTGCACAGGAAAACACGACAGGCAAGTCCTGCAAGCTCATGTTGACACTGGGTCTTCTCTGGGAATTTCTATTTTCTTGGACAGAAAATTGGCTCTGTTTTGTTTTCCTTTAGGAAGAGTACACATTCTTTCGGTCGCCAATACTACAGCTATGGTGGAGAGACAGAGATCTGGTCAGGTGGCCCTGGCACGCCCCGCGATCACGGTGCGAGCGCTCTCGTCACGGTTACACCGTAACAGAGGCTCCGAAGCTGGGTTTACGGGGCCTCCAGGACGCCCCTGCGCACAGCAGGCCAGGCCCGGCCTCCCGCGCTCCCCGGGGCAGGGAGGGGGGGTGTTGATTATAGGACCGGCCGGTCGGGGGCAGCTCTCCGCCCGCGCGGCGGGAACAACCCCCACCCGGCACGCAGCAGCCTTCCAGGGACACCGTCCTGTGCCCACCCGCAGCACGAGAGCCCGAAGCTTTGGGGCCTGGCCTCTCCTGTAGATCCTGCGCCTCCACCGCCCAGAGCTCCCCCGAGGGCCTCCTCCCTCCAGGAGCTCCCCCTTTACCTTTGTGCCCCACCCCCCATCCCCAGGCCCTCCGGCCAGCTCCCCCGAGGCACAACTCCTCCGCTGCCCCTTTCCTGTTTCTCATCAGGAACGGGACCGCACCCCCCCACCCCACCCCGAGGGCCTTAGGCTCGCCCCGGAGGAAATGGTGAGCCTGAGCCTTTTTGGGAGAACCACCCGTAGCGACAGCCCGGCAGGCAGGCGAGTGGGGGCGGGGTGGGGTGGGGTGGGGGTGGGGGGTTGGTGGCGCTGTGAGTGCGCCGCTCTTCGAAGGTCGTCGGTAACTTTCGGCTGAGCTGGGCGCTGGCGTTGACCTCTTAACAAAGAACAGGTTCGGCAGCCGGCCCCCTCACCCCACCGGGAGGCCGAGGGGGCCACGTGACCTTTCCAGACCCGGCCCCCACCGAGAGGGGCCGGGAGAGGGGGTCACGGGGGCGGGGAGGGGAGAGGGAAGGAGGAGGAGGAAGTCTGTGGTTGCTTGGGGAAGGCGGGGAGGGGAGAGGGGAAGGGAGGGGGCAAAGAAG